GGCAATTCCAGTCATTAGATACACAGCTGGAATAGTGGACTGGACTCAAGCAGAACTGGAAGTCCTGGACAGGAAGACCAGAAAAAAATACTGACAATGAATCATGTCCTTCATCCACATAGTGACACTGACAGACTCTATTTACCAAGGAGCATAGGTGGGCATGGAATTTTGCAAGTACATCAGACAGTTGAAGAAGAAAAAAGGGCATTGGAAGAATATCTGAAGGACAGTGAAGAAGATACACTGAAACTAGTACACCATGAAGGCTTACTGAATACCAAAAAGTCCAAACTGGCCTATAAGAAAGACCAAATGAAGAATAGAAAAGAGACATGGCAAGGCATAATATTACATAGCCACTACACAACTACACTCACTTTAAAGTCCTGAACCTCACTGATAGGTCACCAGAGGAAAGTTCACTGTGGACTGAACTTAAAGAAGTTGTTAAGGATGAACGTGGAAGGAGGCTGCCAAAGACTGAAAAAACAGAAGACAGCAAACTGGATGTCAGAACAAATGGTGGAAATTTGTTCAAGAAGGGAAGAGAAACCAAAGCCAAGAAAGACAAAGATCTCAGGAATTTAGCAAAGAATTTAGAGAGCTGTTTACAAGAAGCAGTATTACAACAGCATCTGGAAAGACTTCAAAGATGAAAACAGACATGGAAAAACAAGAAAAGCCTTCCAAAAGATCTCTGAATTCTGAAGGAGGTTGCAACCTCAAATTGGCTGCCGAAGAATGGCAATGGACAGATAATTAGAAGTCTGGTAGCATCTTTTCCAATTATCACATTTTGTTAAAAAATACAAGCTTTTGTGAGTTGTAGCTCACTTCATCAGATGCATAGAGTGGCTAGACTAGGTTTTAAATTGGAGTGAGTTGGGGAGAAGGGAGAGGACAGATGAAACGAAATTAGAGCTTTTTAGTAAGTTGCAGCAGCTCTATGTTCACAGAAGAAAAAATGATGCTTTTAAAGAAAAGAATACCATCCCTACTGTGAAACATGGAGGAGACTCCATAATGTTATGGGGTTGCTTTGTTGCCTTCAGCACTGGGTGCCTTGAATCTGTGCAGGGCCCAATGAAATCAGAAGGTTATCAAGGTATTATGAAGTGAAACATAATGCCCAGTGTTAGAAAGCTCTGCCTCAGTTGCAGGTCATAGGCCCTCCAGCACGATAATGACCCAAAACATCTAAGGGAACCCAAGGATGGTTGAAAAGCAAACATTGTACTGTTCTGAAGTGGTCTGCTATGAGTCTTGATCTGAATCCAATGGAACTTCTATGGAAAAAGCTGAAACTCACAGTTGGGAGAAGGAATCCATCAAACCTAAGGCATCTGAAGCAATTTGCTCAAGAACAGTGGGTCAAATTGCTAGTTGAGAAGTGGAGAATTTTTATTTAGAACTACAGAAAGCTCTTGATTGCAATATTTGCCTCAAAACGGTGTATTAAATATTCAGTTAGGGGTACCAATAATTCCATGCTATTTTCATTTTTTATTATTTACATGAATATGTAAATAATCATACATATATGATAAGTCATACATCAAAAGCAAAGTGTCTGCTCTATGGACTTCGTGATAAAAAACAGTGGGTGCCATTTACTTGTGTCAGCTTCAACTTCTTTCACAGCAAATTGGGATTTGTTAGGAAAAAGTGGAGGGGAACCAATACTTTTGGTTGTATCTGTATACCACAGATAGGACTTGGTAGAGTAGCAATGAAGGCCTTGGAAAAGATATTTAGATGCCGTGATGTGTTTACAAAGATCAGATCATACAGTCAATAATTTTTCCTGTGACAGTCTGTGGAAGCCAAAGTTCGACTTTGAAGAAGTAGGATAGAAAGAGTATCAACGCTTTTGAATTTTTGTGTTGGAGAAGACAACATGGCTAGCCAAGAAAAAAAAATAGATCAGATAAAAAATCAATCCAAAGTTCTCATTCAAGTAAGAAATAATCAGGCTCAAATTATCATATTTTGGACACATTATGTGAAGACCTACCTCTCTGGAGATGTCTATAATGCTGTAAAAGGTGGAAGAAAAGAAAAGAAGATGATCAACAGCAAAGTAACTCAGTTACAGTGGTGATGGGTACACTGTTGGAAGACCTGAAGGATGAGGTTAGGGACAGATCATATGGAGAAAATCTATCTAGGTGGTTGCTAAGAAATTACACCAATGTAATGGCACATAATTATTCATGCTTCAACAGATTCCATATTTTCAGGAGATCATTCAGCATCAGTTTTACAGTGCTGAGTTTCGATTCTTTTCTGAGTGCAATTTTTTTTCTTTTTTATCTTGTGTTTGTCAATATTCTATATTTTTATGTTAGTAAACCACCATGAATCTTTAAATTCTGGTGGTATATAAATGAGAGAAATATATAAAATGTTTACAGCCCTATGAATATTATATCAGTGTCATCTTAGAAAAAATGAAACATATGTGAGTTAGAGTCCCCAGTTAGCAGAGTTCTCTCTCTCATTGACAGAATGAATCAACATTATGGGAGCTGTAGTTCAACACATCAGGAATCATATCTTACTGATTTGAGGGAAAGGTGGTTTTTTTCTAATTTTGGTAAACTACTATACTGTAGTTATTGCAAAAGCCAATATGACTTTGTTTTCTTCACAGAATGTTTGAAGCTCATATACAGAACTACAGTGGCAACGATCCACTTGATCCCTGGTATAGGTTGGTCTTTTCTTTGTCTTTACTCTTTAATACAGATCCTTAAATTACTATAAAATAGCTAATTAACTCATGTTGGTTTTAGATATTTTCAATGGATAGAAGGAATGTCAGAAGCAGAAGGAAAGCAAAATTGCCTGTCACATTTACTGGAGCGGCTTGTGAAAATGTTTTTAAGTGATAAGAGGTATCATCACGACATGAGATTCATCAGCTGCTGTGTCAAATTTGTACGTATATAGGATAAAAACAATGTTCTTAAAACTTTACCATAGGGTGAGCAATAAGTGGTGATAATGTTGATGTTAGGAGAAGTAGATGTTTAGAATTCTGGGATTAACTTTCTTCATTAAAGAACTTTACCCAGTTTCGTTTTGATCTTGTGGAATTCCTTTACTCCTGTTGATGTGACAGTATAGTTAATCCAATGTAAGTATTTCATATCTGACTTTCTCAAGCTCATCCATTCCCCTTATGTATCTCTGCTGCCTTCTCTTGTGTGAACTGAAATACAGGAGAATATTTACGCTGGGGACAAGTCCCATCCTATGAAAGCTTGTTTGTTTAGCTGCCCCAGTTGGCAGGAGAAGCCAGGCAAAATTGATCAAGGAGTGGCATAGCAACACGCTTCTCTCATTAGGAAGATTTCAGGAAATTCTGACTTAGCATGATAGCTAAACATAATCAACATTACTGACCTTTCAGACTATTCTACTTGGAGTAGATGGACTGAAATCCATAGGACTTTACTTAGTCATGACTAACTTAAATTCTGTTGATTTTTGTGGAAATAACTAATTCTGGCTCCAATCTCCAGTTTTGAAAAATTACTTTATGACATTCATGGAATGGTATTTTGCAAATTGGTAATTATGACTGATTCTTTTTTCTATTTTATAATGGGATTTTATCATAGTTGAGATAACTGCCTTGAAAAAAGATTATGTTGATGAGCTTGCCCTTGTTTTTTTCCTAGGCTGACTTCATTGATAACCCGTGTCAGTTTTTTGATTACATATACAGCCAAGGAATTGGTAACAAATCATCCATTCTGTATATTTCTTGGGCTCAACAATTTGGTGGACAAGGAAATGTGCCTCAGGCATGCATTGTTATTCAGAGAGGTATCCAGAATGAAGCCCAGCCAATTGAGAAATTGCATCAGCAGTATCGGTACGTTTATGTTGAATGGCCTGTGTTGACAGCTTTTATCTATTAAGCAAGTTGAGCATAATGACTATTTTATGTACAGGAACTAATCAAAGGATATTCTCTCTTAAAAAAAAACAAAAACTAAGTTGCCATTACTTGCTTTAATTTCCCCTGAGCTAATGATTTCTTGCTCCATAAAACTGAAGGCAAAATGTAGGTGGTCTAGTAAGGAAATAAGCATGTGGTAGCCAGCCAACAATGCAGTCTTTGCTAAATCTATTCAGAAGCATACCTTAGTGATCTTAGCGGATATTGTCATGTAATTGCAGTTGGCTAGATCCAATCAGAGTTCATATCCAATATATTTGGAGGACTCCAAATTGGACAACACTGTCCTAGATAATATAGAAGGCATGGGCATATAGGAGTTTACAGGTACAGGTAGTCCTTGCTTACCAACCATTCGTTCAGCAACCATTTGAAGTTATGATGGTGCTGAAAAAATAACTTTACGGCCTATTTATGACCTTCACAGTGTCCCTCAGTCATGTGATTACCATTACAATCAGTATGTGTTGTACTGTGTCTGACCTGTGTTTTTTTCTTTTTTCCCCACTCTGCAGAGCAGAGGGATTGGAGAGAGGTATTACAAGACAGTAAGCTGTTTGCTGTTCTACACATCGAAAGCAATGTGATCGTGCTCAAGCCCGGAGCCGGGAGCCACAGGTGCACTACACAAACAGTTTACAATACTTTCTTGAAAGCTCTTTCTCTCCAATCTCTCTGCTCTACAAGAGGGTAGGGGGAAAAAAAGCAAGTAATTTCTCCTTTGCCTGACCCCCCCCCCCCGCTGCAGAGTGGAGAGATTGGAGAAAAAGAGATTTCCAGAGAGTAAGCTGTTTGCTCTTTTACGCATCTAGAGCAATGCGATTGTGCCGGCAGCGGAAAAGGGTCAGGCAAAGGAGAGATTGCCTACAGAAATCGCTTGCTTCCCTCTGCCCCCACTTGCAGGGCAGAGAGATTGGAGAGAAAGAGATTTCAAGAAAGTATTATAAGCTGTTTATGTAGCGTGCCCGCAGTTCCCAGCCCTGGGTTGTGGCACGATCACTTTGCTTCGATGTGTACAAGACACTAAGCAGACACTTGAGCATTCCAAAGTGTGAGGGAGTGGTTAGGAGGGAAACAAAAACTGAAGGTGTGAAACTGACTAGTCTTGTCTCTTTCCATCCGGAAAGCACAGTTGTGGTCATGTGATTTCCCACTTAGTGATTGCATCGTTTAGCAGCCAAGTTGCTGGTCCCAATTAAGGTTGTTAAGCAAGGACTACCTGCAGTCCTCAGTTAATGACCACTCGTTCAGCGACCATTCAAAGTTGTGACAGTGCTGAATGAGTGGTGCTTATGACTGGTCCTCAAAGTTCTGGCTGTTGCAGCACCCCTGCAGTCATGTGATTGCAATTCAGGTGCTTGGCAACCAGCTCGGACTTATGACGGTTGCAGTATCCTGCGGTCACGTGATTGCCATTTGTGACCTTCCCTGCCAGCTTCCCACAAGCAAAGTCAATAGGGAAGCTGGCAGGGAAGGTTGCGAGTGTCTCTGGCAAGTCCCCCCAGCCTTCCTGTGCTTGTGTGCCACTGTGCTATCCGCCCCCTGGCCTTCCTGCACTCAGGTGTGGCCTGCGCTGGCCCTCTTCGACCTCCCCTACTCCTTGTGCTCCTTATCTGGGATTCCTTCTGCTTCCTATTTAACAACCTGTGCATCTTGGGCTTATGATAGCAACCAGGACTGTCACTAAGTGATCTGGTGACGTGATGTCATGCTTTACGACTGCATTGCTTAGTGATGGAAATCCCAGTCCCAATTGCCATCATAACCTGAGGACTACCTGTTATTAGAGAGATCTTTTATTCCTGTGTTTGATATTTCCCTTTGTTCCCATCTTCATTTTGTGAAAGCAGGTTTACAGAGGTAGATCAGATCTGCTTGTTCCTCTGAAGTATTTCTTGTTGATTGCATCCAGCACAATAATATACACAGGTCATCAATAGCTGATCATTACTTTGTATTTTCAGATTAGTACTGGCATCTGCTAAAATAAAGCCTAATTGTGTGGAATTGAGTATCTCAATTGTGTTTCTTTCCTTCTTTTGGTGCCTAGAGGCACCAAACTCCTGTTAATTGACTTGATCCATATGTAATGTTTGTTATATGCATGATCCTCTTCTTTCTTGTCATATTAGAGGAGGAGAATGAAAATCGATTTCTGATCTGTATCACTTTTATATATACATTTGTTTTGTACCTTTTTTCAATTAATTTGCTGTTAAAATGGTAAGCATTTGGATTTAAATATATGTATCTAAGACTATGTACTTTAAAGAAGTACCTAGATATACTATTTAAACTGAGAATTCTGTGGGGTATATAAAGTATTGTATGTAATGGCTGGTGGATAACTTGATTCTACTATATAATTGGTCTGCAAAGTCCAAGATAAACTATTCTAGTTTATCTTGGAATTTGCAGATATTTCCATAACTGAGGAACTATAATTTACTGAACAGTGGAAACTTTCAATTTTGTATATAAAGGGGGGGGGGAATGAATCAGTGAGCTTGAGACTTGTGCTCCTAGAAACAAATCAAGGCTTTTACTATACCCCAATCAGCTCTCTCATGGGTTGGTGGAATTGACCAAGTAGCTGTGACTGCAGATGGGCTGGGAAAATGTTACCCTAATAAAGGTTAATAGCAGTGGTGGTGATGATTAAATGATAAATGAAATAAGCAAGTGTTTGTTTAATAGATAAGCAAAACTAAATCACATTTTGTACATATGCAGTCTAACAGCGTAGTTCTGTTTACTGGGAAGTAAATTCCCCTGTGCTATTATTGCTTACTCCTATAAAAGTACTAAGAGAAACATTCTAGTTGGGAACTTAAGTAGAAATTTAAACTAGAAAAGAGAGAAAAAGATTGTCCTCCTGATGCCAGTTGATATAAATCTTTGTCATAGGGGGCAGGGAAAATAGATATGTACTGAGACTTCAGACCAATGTGTTATCTGGTAAGCATGCTAGAAAACAGAATTACAGATACAAGGAGCTTGTGTACTTGTGATGGCAAGGCTTAAAATGAGAATTTAACAGATCTCAGAATGATTGGGGTATTGAGTATGCGTTCTATTCATTATGTTGATGACCTTAATTGGAAAACATGTAGGAGACTAGCCAGCAATTTCAGGGTGACAAGCTGTTGGAAACTCATGTATTTCTTTATAGAGGTGATGTAAGCTGCCTGTTAACACTATTGAAATAAAATTTTGTTTAATAGAGAAGAAATTGAGTTTCTTGTCTTAGATTTCCAGCTTTGGTTAATACTTTTTCACTTTATTCCTAGGTTGTTACAGAGTAGCTTGTCCCAGAATCAGATTTCAACTCCAGGTAGGTCTGATTCCATAAATGTATTGGCAGGTAATAATGTAATAAGCTGATGTTTAAAATAATCTTGGTATTTCTCCAACATTCAGGAAGCTATACTTCCCTTAGGAGCGTTACCAATGTGAATTATTTTAAAAACTGTTGCTTCCCCCCCCCCCATCTCAGAGTGGAGTATTGGATTTAGCGGACTTGGGTGATCTCTTGTAGGGGAAGAGCATGTTTGTATAGTGATATCAGAAACTTGATACTTACAAGTATAGGGCGTATGGCTGCTTCCCTCTCCAAAAATCTACTCTGATTGCTTTATAACACTTCAACTCTGTTTCCCGTTGCATAACTGAAAAATAACATCAAGTGTATCTGCTTTCATTTGGATTGTGCGCATGCTCAGAAACCATAGTAATTCATTAGCTTTTTTCCACAGCAACATTAACTTTTCAATAGAAAAATGAACATTACAGTTAAGCCATGTGTTACTTAGCATGTTGGTTGACTCCAACCAGTGTAAGTGTATGGGCAAAGTGAAGTTGCTGTGCATGAGTAAATAGGGCTGCACACAGCATTGCTGACAGATTCTGAGAAAGCCAACAAAGATTATAGAAAACAAGGGCTAAGAGAAAAGGTGAAAGGAATTGATGAGCATTAGACTGTGGATTAGCGTGGTGGGGGTGGGGGGATTGTATTGGCCAGATACCTGAAGGATTGTCACAACGCAAGATTTGTTTCCATGCCCAAGAGGACAAAATTTGATCTATTAGCATGAAGTTAGCAGAATAAGATATTTCAGTTCAATGTTAGGGAAAAAAATCTTGGTAATTATTTATTTTGCCCTGTTGTTGAGATCTGCAAGTGAAGAGGCTGGATAATACTTCAAGATGCTTTATTATGGATTTTGGATGTTGAACTAAATGGGCTAAATTGTCTGCCTGTGATGTTTGGGATTAAAACTAGAAGGGGTGAGAACTGGACCAGGACCAGATATTTTGAGCAGATAGTAAAGCATATTGAAATAAGAGTATGCCAAGAGAAAGGGGAACAAGTGGGAGTTGGGTAGAAAGGAAAAGTCAGTTTTGTAGAAGTATAAAGTGTGGGATTATAAAATGCACTGAGTTCATAGAAGGTAAGTTTCCTTCTTTCTCTTCACTCAACAGAACGCTCTGAAAAATCTTCCTGAACATTGAATGCAGCGCAGGGCAGGCTGCCTGGGAGAGTGGGAGAGCATCCAAGATGGCATTCAAGAAAGGCTTTAGGGCTAGGCAGTCTTTTTGGGCTGGTGGACCTGCATGTGGGACAGTACCCCTTTCTGCTTCATTCCACTCAGTTCAGAAACACACAGAACTTCCAGAGTTCAGGGAACACAGGAAGAGTCAGAGCTTGGGGAATTTTTCTTGCATGAGCTTCCTTAAGTTATTTGTATAGGATGCAAATCACTAAGAGTTAGTTCCGCTCTTAAAATATTAGTGTTCTTAAAAAAATGCTGGCATTATTACACTTCTCTTGTAGAGAGGTGTTGCATTATGTTCACTAGACAGCTGTTTTTAATCTGTTCTTGACTGCTTTCAGCATGTAATATATGGGTGTAATGAGATTGCAATCTAAATCTCTCCTTGTTTGAAGTGGTATGTCTCTTTTGAGTTGGTCTAACCTGCAAATGCCAGCATAAAGAAACATAGACCCTTCTCTAAAATCTAGTTTAGCTCTTTATAATCTTCTCGTGGCAGTAGGCCCTAACCTGGGTCTCCAAATGCATTGGATAAGAACTGCCAACATCCTCAGCCAAAGTAGCAAGCAGGCGTGTCAGCTGTAGGAGGCAGGAATTGTAGTCCAGGACATCTGGAAGGTCCTGTGTAAGGTAAATCTGGTTTAGGAATTACCAGTGTTTGGTCCAGTGTTACTTCCGACCATTGGTGCCCAGTTTTACATGTCTAACACTATATTTTTCTGTAGTTGGTGTTTTGCAGCAACGTAATCCTCAGATGTCCAATCAGTTGGCTTCTAAAAATGACTTGGCCTGTCCCTACCAGAGCCAGGTAATTAAAAATAGTATCCATTATTAAACATACCATGATATAGGAGAATCCAATTTATACCTGCATTTTTCTTTATAATTATACAGCTATAGATCAAGATCTGATATGTTTTCTGTTTATGCTGTTATTTGTGGTGTTTTGCTTTTACATTTTAATGGCATTAAAATAACCATTATTTAAATAACTACTGTTTCAAATTTTTATATGCTTCTACTGGCATCTTTTAAGACCCTGCTTGCCTAAAGCATTACCAAATATAACTTCCCATTCCCACGCTTAAAATTTCCACATCAAGAAAAAAATGGCTGAACATTTTTAGCTCTGCCCTTTTCAGTGTTTTTACACATCACCAGATGCTCCTTGAAGCCTGCAGGCAGGTTGGGATGCTAGGTTGTGGCCCCACCCAAGTAGCAGTAGCCCACCTTTGGCCTAAACCATAATTGACATTAATAATATTTTTCTAAGTTGAACATCCTGAAAAACTGTGGCTGTTCAAAATAGAAGCTGCAGCTATTTAAGGGGAAGAGAGAAGAGTTTGCAAGTCAAAAACTTCAGCCAGATTCCTCTAGACTTCATTTTAACAGAGATGGAAATCCTTTTCTGAGCTACAAATCCCAGGTGCTCCAGCCAGACAGTAGGACCAAGGCTAAAGAATGCTGGGGCTTAAAGTTCAGTACCCTGGAGGACTACAGGGACTCCCACTCCCTCTGTTATGCCTGAATGTGACCAATATGTTTTCTGTGATGAAGCCCTGGCATCTTCTTTCAGCAAATTGGAAGTTCTACCTGGCCCCCACCTTTCCCTACCATTTAGAGCAGGGGCTCCCAAACTTTTTGGCAGCACTTCTTGGTTTTTTAGAAACCTCTATACCTTCAAAACCCTCCTTTAAATGAACACCCATATAACAAACAAACAAACAAATAAATGCATCAGTTGCCTTGTAGAGATGGTATGCAAGTATAGCTTTCTACAAGACCACAGCAGCTGTTCCATTCAGTTAGATCTGGAAATAGTCTCCAGTGTTTGTCTTCCATTCTCTCTCCCTCCAATTTGCAAAAAACATTGAAGTCTTTGCTAGATAAGCCCTCAGTGTGAACTTTTTAATCTTATTTTCTAGAACCCAAACAGTTCTGAAGCATATCCCATCACTTGCAGGGGACCAGAGAATGTGTAAGTAAGCAATTTTTTCCGAACACAGTGTTCAATTTTGATAGGTAAATTCACAACTTCACCATTAGTTCATTTGTGTATGTCCAGAAATGGTATGTGTGAGGGATCATTTTGTCCATATGTACTTATTTTAGGGTTTCTCAACCTTAGCAACTTTAAGATGTGTGGGCTTCAACTCCCAGAATTCCCCACCCAGCTTTGCTTTGCTTTGCTGGCTGGGGAATTCTGGGAGTTGAAGTCCGCACATCTTAAAGTCGTTGAGAAACACTGACTTATTTGTTCTTTGAATCTGGGGGAGCAGTCCCAATATTTGCATTGAGTTTTAGTTGAGAAAAACAATAAAAGCATGGTGGGGAGGTTCAAAGAAGTCAAGATTGTGGCCATAATCGTGTGATCGAGGCTCCATTTCTTTTTTTAACCCTGACCCCTCCTGTGGACGCCTCTGAATAAAAGAGTTGTTTTTTCATAGGTGCACCCATTTTGGAATATTCAAAGAGATTTATCTTATACCTGCTCAAGTTTTTAATCTTGCCTAAGAAGAAGCATGCTAGCATATTGCCTATCCCCTTTTTAATCATGAGAAAATTGCCGGCCCAAATCAATCAGTTTAGTATATGAATGGGGCTTAGGGCCTTGATTTCCCATAACTTATGTCCTGTGATCTAGCCACTGTATCATCTTTCAGTAGCACATAATATTTCTGAAAAGATTCATCTACCTTTATTGTTTGGATAGATTGTTGCTTGTACTTAAGTATCACTTCTTATTTCTGTGTTGTTTCTGGTTCTGCTGTGAAGTGCCACAAATTCATTTTTCTCCCCAGAGAAAAGCCCAAGTACATTACCACCATTTCCAAGTCAGAAGTTGTACCAATGCCATCAAGTCATGCTGTCCTTGAGCAGAAGGCAATGTATATCAAGACTCTTCTCTGTTGTGAAGGTTCTGAACTGTGCTTTGAAGAAGTGAGAGCCAAAACATATTTGAAGAAGGCAGAACGTTTGAAAAGGCACAAGGAATGGGGTAATTACTACAGTTTAGCTCAATTAGCTGAGTTTCATTGGAGTTGAAGATGGAACATAATGTTTTAAAGCTTCCACATATGCTAAGCTAAGATTAGATTTAAATGAGTTTTGTCGAAACAAGCTTTCAGTCAGTGCTGTAGATGAGCAAAACATTTCCTGGTTTGGTTTCCTCTTTCACTGCATTTGCTTTCTACCTCTGGATTGGTTAGTAACTTAGGGCACAAATATAAGCCAGGAGTAAGTGAAGATACATTGGTAAACCAGGGATGAAATCAGTAGGCTAAAACATCATAGCTTTAAATGCTTTCTTCCCTAAAAACAAACCGTGGAAATTTCCCAGACTTTGTTCATGTATCATGCTTACTCAGACACTTATAAATAACATTATGGCTTACATGATCTGCAGTTAAGTCTTACTGATTCCAGTGAGATTAAAGTAATCAGTAACTGCCCATTGATTTAAGTGGGGTGTAAATGTAAATAAATTAGCCTGGATTTCTCCTGCATGCATTCATACTCTTTTAACAGTGACAGGCTAAGATCTCATACCACACACAAGGAGATGACATTCTGGCCTGTGAAAGGTAGCACAAATACAAAATCATATACAGGTAGTCCCCAGTTTAAGAATAAGTTCCGTTCCCAAGGTCTGTCCTTAAGTCAAATTTGTACGTAAGCTGGAACAGTATTATTGTATAATACTGTATAAATAGTATTGTGCAATTAACTCGAACCATTGTGTATTTAGCTTGAATTGTTGTGTATTTAATTTGAATTTTGCTACAATATGCTCTGTTCTTAACTATGGGTCGCCCGTAAACTGGGCATTCTTAAACTGGGGGCTTCCGGTATAGTCTTTCCCCCAAATATGCCAGTCTGTGCCAGAAAGAGATTGTAGTCTATTACAATCCTGAATTTGGCACTGCCAGTTTTTCTCGCCATCATTGCTTGAATTTCTTCTGCATTAAAACAAATGCATATTCAGAAACTGCACCTGAATGTTATAGTTGGAGACAGCTTGTCCAGTATACTGCAATGGAGTCTGCAGTGTTACTGAATTCCACAATAAACAATATTTTGCCCCTATTTTTGTACACAAAATAAGTATTTCCTTTTTTCACTAGGCAAAATTCTAGACCTTAGTCCACTCATAGAGCTTTTTCCTTCTGTAGAGTCAATATTAACTTTTAATTCTAGCTAAACTATCAACTATGCTTTGTTTCTCGGATAATTCTTGATCCTATTTTTTTCCTTGTTGAAAACCTTTCTTTATATAGAAGAATGTTCTGTGCTGTCACAGCAACATAGCAGTCAGGGTTACTGCTCTAAATGCAGTGCAATGTAGATTTATCTTTGTTGAAGGTAATGAGTTATGAATTCTGTAATTTCTAAAACCTATTTTTATTGCTTTTCCCACAGGTAAATATGTTACGACAGGTAGGTAGGTAGATAGATAGGTAGGTAGGTAGATAGGTAGATAGGTAGATTGATTTCAGGGTATTGGTAACAAGTGTTATTTGACATTCTGTTTTATTTTCCTGCCTTGCTGGGGGGTGAGGGTCAGAGTTACTAAAAATATACCAGCTTTTAACATTAAAGGGGAGGGAGAGGACTATTTAAAAATATTGTTAACGTATGGGTTTTGATACTTTCAGAGAATGAAGACAAAGAGTTTATGAAAAAGAAAGAAAGTGACCTCCTTGAGCTACAGGAACTGCAGCAGAAATTGGATCAGCTCTCCCAAACATCGTCTTCATGCCAGAAGGATATATTGCAGCCAGTTGCTCACCAGTCCCTAAGCTCTACAGGGGTATATTTGCAATATGATTTATTAGTATGTGTGGCGGGTGTTATTCTTATGAATCAGTCTTCTCCAGCTGGTACTTCCCAGTGTTTTGGACCACAGTTCTCATCATCCATAGCTATCTTGGATGAACTAGAGGTCCCAGCACTTCTCATTATTACCCATGCTGACTAGGGCTGCTAGGAGCTATAGCCCAGCAACATCCGGACATATCACTCCTGGAAAAATCCGTTTGAAAAAAATGCCTTGCCCTAGTGTCTACTTAAATCCCTTTACGAAGAATGATCAAGAATATCTACTTCATAATGTCCATTCAGAAGCAGAAGTTTAATTGTAAGGGAACTAAAGACATTTTCAAGAGCTCTTCTAGAACTAACTCCAAATCTATATATGTTCTTTATTTGTACAAGGTAATTTTCCTGCTATTTATGAACATATGCAACTAGTTCATTAGAACTATAGTCCCTTTAGGTAAAATTCTCTTTTCCTGAATGATAATAGCTTCCCAAGATATTCCTTGCTTTTTAATTAGAGAAGCTGGGTGAGAATCTTGGATCTTCTCTATCAAATAGTTCTTTTTATGAGTGAAATATGGCTCTTCCTTTAGTCCAATTAAAATCAGCAGGGATTACATTTGAATAGACTCCATCTTTATTATGTGTGCCGAAACAAAAAACAAAGCCTTAAAATGGGTAATTCTAGTGTAACTTAGAATTCTTATAGTTCTTATTCTTATAAAGTAGTGAAACACTTTTCCAATTTAAGCCTTCAAGATAGGAAGGAATTCACATTTAAATTAGTAGAACTCTTTTTCAATCTCTTTAAATTTTAATGCAACTTTCCCCAATCTGGTGGCCTACAGATGTGTTTGACTGTTATGAAACTGGAATTGGCTGGGGATCCTGGGGGTTATAGTCCAACACAGCAAGGAAGTTGTAAAATATTGATAAAGAATGTTATACATTTAAGTACAGTTAGTGTTTCTAAAAAATAAAGGCTTATGAGTACACTAGGGCATGGAAATCAGTAAAAGATTAAGTAGACAGATGGCAAGAACTCCTTAAAAATACAACCATACAAGATTGTATTTTGTTTTTAATTTAATAAGGGTGATCGATGTGTACCAATCAGGGCAGCACAGTGTTGGCCAGAATGGACAGCTTCTTCTGCATCTCAGAGTACTCTGAATTTGGGGACAGAACATCAAAGTTTATCAGCAGGTGCTTTAGCTTCCCAGCCTCTTGGAAATCACCCACAAAGATCTGCTTCCAAGGAGATTTCGGTTGGAGTGTCTTCAACTTCCTTAGCAATGATGACCAATGTGGACAATACTGATGAAATTCTTGGGCACCAGTCAGTATTTGATTGTCTGTCGACTGCTGTAAGTGAAAAAGCTGCATTTGAAACTCATCCTGATCTTGAAGAATGTGCAAGTAGCCTGTGTAGACTTCAAGTCAGCAGTAACAATTCTGTCCAGCCACCTCAGAAACATGCTACTATCTCCTATAATTGCCATGATGAAGAGATGTAAGTAAAAGTTAGATTTTTCAACTCGTTGTTTTTTATCCAGGAATAAACACTCCCCAGCAAGATGGGGACTAGATCCATTGTTACATCTTGTGTATGATGTATTGGCTGAATTCATGTATCATATGAAGACATATGGTTAATCATATGGTCTGATTAATTTTTGCCAAATATAAATCTAGTGATTTGTATTCGTAGTTTATAACTTAGGTTATGGGTGAGCCAAACCACCATAACTTGTTTACAAACCAAGGTTAAACCACAATTTAATATGTAGAGTACTGCTATTGAGGATGTTTAGATAATCATATCTTAATGAGCTGGGATATGAATGAGCTGTTGATCTGTGAACCTTGTATTCCTATGATCTTTACTCCTCAAAATTAGTATTAGCAACAATCAGCCTGATAAATGTGAATGTATTCCTGACTATGTCACTACATGCACTGGGAGACTTGTATGAATAAAATTTACTCTACTGAATATTATGAGATTTAAAATCCAATATTCAGCACATTGTTAAAATACTGAAAGATTAAGTTTAAGATGTGACTTCCAAGCTGGCATATAGACATTTGTTTGTTTGTTTGTTTGTTTAATTTATAGACCACCTGACTCTTAAATGATTCTGGGTGGCTTGCAACTAAAAAACCAACAGATTGAAAGAAAAACAGAAGAGCAAAATACCAAAAAACAAAGCAAAGCTCCAAGACAAATCGGATCAAAATAAAACAAAACAAAACAAGCAAAACAAAAACGGGGCTTGACAGTCACCCTGTCCCCAAGGCCTAAGATTCTTTTAATGCCAGTGGATGATTAACAGAGTCTTGTAGAACTTGTATTCCAAGGTGCATTCTTGATAAAAGTCAGTCTCTGAAGTGGGATTGGATACCATTTCACTATATGTAATGCAGAACTGAAACCATCCCAGCACTTATAATCTCATTTTTGGACACTTTCTTTAAGCATGCTATATACTGATCACATATAAGCATGCTGTATATTGTTCAGAACTTTTGTCCTTGTAATAATTAGAACCATATTAATATGGGAGAATTTATGTGATGATTTTTCTGCGCAGGCACGTAGATCCTTCAAATTGGAAAGAGCGGTATTCCATTGAAATGAGAGACGGTAATAATGTATTCTCTTGCTGTCTTCATAATACTCTGTGAGTGCTCTAATGGGTTACTAATCCATATTTAAGGAGGTTGAACAAGGTATCATTGTCTCTGTGCATTTATCTTTTGCAGCCTGTAGTCTGAGGACCAAAGATGGTCAAGATCCTTAGAAGTATAGTATCAAAGGGTTAGAACAGGTCTTAGAGGTCTTCTAGTCCAAATCTCTGCCCAGAGCAGGGATCCTCATACCATAACAAAGTACTGCCCAACCTTTGTCTGAAAATGTATGATGATGGAATGCCCTTGATTCCAGGAGGCAGGCTGTTTCACTGCTTAAGTTTGTTTATTTAAGAAACTTACATGCCCATCTATCTCATATAATGATCCTAGGTGGTTCACAGCAACCAGTAAAAATAAGAATAAAAACAAAACCACCCTTCCCACCCAGGAACCAGACCAGTCAGCCTCTTGACTCAACCCCTATCCTAGCCCAACACTTAGGAGAAGAGCCAGGTCTTCACGGCCTTCCTGAAGGCTAAAAGGGTAGGAACCCCATGAATCTTGGGTGAGAGGCTATTCTAAAGAGCTGGGGCAGCTACAGAGAAGGCATGCCTCCAAGGTCCCATCAGATGACAGCATTTAAGGGAAGAGAGCTAAAGTCCCCCCACCCTATCTGACCTAGTGGGATGGGCAGATACCCTCAGGCGGTCCAGCAAATAACTCAGTCCTGTGCCACGTGGGGCTTTAAAGGAGATTACCAGCACCTTGAATTGCACCTGGAAAGCAACTGGGAGCCAGTGCAGCTCACAGAGCAGTGATGTAACTCGGGTGAACTGCGGGGCACCCATAACTGCATGTGCTCTTGCATTCTGGACCGGTTGCAGCTTCTGGATGGTCTTCAAGGCTTCTGGATGGTCTTCAAGTATGTTGCAGTAATCCAATTGGGAGGTGACTAAAGTATGAGTGACTGTAAGCAAGGCCTCTTGGGCCAGGAATAGGTGCATTTGGTGCATATTAATTTGTACAAAGGCCTACCTGGCCACAACTACCATCTGTTACATGTTTTTCCAGCAAGACCGGTGAGTCCAAGAGCCCTAAATTCTGAACCAAATCTGTTACCCTGTCCAGAGTCAAAGATGTCAACTCTCCTGACCCCGAGGCTAAAGATCCACAAGTACTTTGTCTTGATAGAGTTAAGTTGTAGCCGGTTTCTCCCCATTCTATTCTCAGAATCAGGAAATTATTCCTTATTTCAAGTTTAGATCTCTCTCTTCTACCTGTTGGTTATCTTCTTTCTCATGACAGCCATTCAAGTACTGGAAGACTGCTAATTGTGTTTCCCCTTAGCCTTCTCTTCGTGAGACTAAATATATCCAGTTCTTTTAACAATTTTTCAGGCCTCTCACCATCTTTGTTGCTCTTCTCTGCGCTCTTTCTAGTTCTTTAGGATCCTTCTTGTATTATGGTGACCAAAGCTGGACACACTATTCTAGTTGCAGTCTGACCAATGCAGTGTAGAGTTGAACTAACCTTCCATAGTCTCAGCAGTATACTTCTGTTGATGCAGCCCAATATTGAATTGGTTCTTTTAGCTGTTGCATACTGCTGGCTCATGCTTAATTTGTGATCTGCCAGGACATTCAGATCCTTCTCCCATGTACTGTTGCTGAGCCAGGTATCACCTATCTTGTATTTGTACATCTGATTTTTCCTACCTAAGTGCAGGACCCTACATTTCTCACCACTAAACTGCATTTTGTTGGAAAAGACTCAGTGTTCAAATCTGTCAAGAACCTTTTGAATCCTGAGCCTGTCTTCTGAGGAATCCCTTCCAGCTTTGTGTCATCTTAAGATTTGCTCAGTGTTCTTTCTATTCCCTTGTCCAAGTTATTTCTAAAAAATTGAAGAGCACTGGGCCCAGGACAGAACCTTGAGGGGCCACACTAAATACTTCTCTTCATGTAAACATAGATCTGTTAAGGACCACATGTTCAACCAACTGCGTATCCATCTGGTAGCAGGACCATCCACCCCACATTTTTCCATTTTATCAAGGAGGCTATGGTCAATTTTATCAAACGCCTTGATGAAATGTGGTACACTACATCTACAGCATTCCTTGGTCTACTAATTTAGCCACATTCTTTAAAAAACAGATTAGTCTGGTGCAACCTATTTTTAACAAATCCATTTCAGTTTCTAGTAATCATCTTGCTCCTTTCTAAGTGCTTGGAAGCCCACTGTTTGATGATCTTCTTATGATCTTTTGTAAGATTTTCCCAGATACTGATGTCAAGCTAATTGGTCAGTTGTTTCCTGAGTCAACTTTTCCCCTTTTTTTGGATTGGAACAACATTGGCTCTTCTCCAATCTCCTGGTACTTCCTGTGTATTACAGGAGTGCTCAGAGATTATAGTCAGTGGTTCTGAGATAACCTGGGGATGTAATCCATCTGACCCTAGAGGCTTGAATTCATCAAGTATCAATAATGTTGATACAATTGATTGAAAGGGTATCATAATTATGAATAACGGTTTTCATATGTAGTACTGCCCAATTCTGAGAGCCTGTGAATGTAACAGTTAACATGTTGGATTAGAAATGCAGAGATCCATGTTCAAATCCCTATGATGCCATTTTCAAATATAATCTCATGGAGACATGATGTAATTATGCACTTTTAAGATCTGTGTGTTGAGTGGAAAGAACTCTGTAGTGTATACTTTTCACATGTCTTGGTCAATACACAGATTCTGGTTAGGGGAGCAAGGTCTATGATGGGGAATACTCATAACTGGAAGGACAAGATTCAATCCCTATAGATGAGAGGTCTTATATTTCAGCCTAACTTTTGTTATGAGGCTAAAGATAAAATATGCAGGAAATTAAATGTATATGTTGCCATGAAAGATTTGGAGAGATGCATTTGGTGGGATACCAATGTAACTATCCAAATTATTAAAAGGAGAATAAGAATATTAAAATATTGTTGATAGTGACATGTTATCTTGCATAAGGACTACTGCTTGCACAATGGGATGTCCCATTCCTCTCTTCCTCCAATTCTTTAGATTAAGTACAGGGAATCACTAACTGTGCCAGCTCTACACGTTTGAATTTCACCCCGTTTCCTATTTCTTGAAAATGTTGTTCTAGAGAGGCCATATAAATGCTTCAGAAGCTGCACTGGGCTTTTGGGAATCTAAATAAAACTCAGCTAATATATTTTTACTCTTTAGTTAGGGTTAAAGCATTTTACCTTCAGTGAGATTTTTGCTACTGTTATGACTGTATGGGAAGTTACAGCTTAAATGTCTCATCAGTTTTGGGAGCTATCTTTTTTTTAAAAAAAAAGTGGGGGGCATATCAATCCAAAAATCAAAGAAATGACTTTTTTTTTTACTCTTTCTTCCATTGTTACTGTTGTGTCATATCTGCAGCAGGAGTAAGAATGAATCTGTAGCAGCTCCTGTAAGCTTACACTTCTGTGTGCCTCTGTCAAATTCTTATATTGCTTTTCTAGTACCAGATAACAGAAATACTTCAGTCTTTTTTAATCACCGTCATGCCACTCCAAATACATCAAGCATAATGCAAGCAACTCCATCTAAAGTACAGCCTTCTCCTACTGTTCACACAAAGGAAGCCTTGGGTAAGTATAAAGCCTTTTTAAACAAGATTGTGGGACATTTATTGGGCTGTTTAATCTTGTTTTATAGACTCTTAAGATTGGTAAGCATGCATGAAGAAGCCCATTCAGGTGAGTGAGTAGCTGCCTTACAATGCACACAATGGGATATGCAGGGAAAAAAATCTGGAAGTGGTGATTAGGTAGATTAGAAAGGACATATATGTTTATAAAGTTTTATGCAACAGTTTCAGTAAAAGATAGCCATCTTTCATTGTAATCATCCATAAATATAATTTCTGCCTGTAAGCAACTCATTCATAATTCACAAGTAATATCAGGTCTTCAATTCACAGAATAATAGGGCCATAAATTTATCTTTCCAATGTTGAAGGACTAGTCTCATAACAATAAAAGGACATGGAGGATCCATTTCCATTGTCCAGCAGTCAGTTTCTATGTCCTAGGTACATACTTCAAAAGAAAATGGAATGTCCAAAAATATTAAACCCTGTCTCAAATCCTAATGTATGTAATTCCTCCCAGAACATAACAATGTTTGACATAGCAAAAACATTTGTTTTATATATGCATATACATGTGTAAGAAGCTCTAATATATATAATTTTTTTCTTTTCCTTTCTTCTGTTTAATTAAAACAAAGCATTAAATGTAATTAGAACATGCAGACTTCTTTACCAAAAACAGCTGTAAAGTAGTTTTCCTCCTCTTTTTCCTCAGTGGTTCTTATCAGAAAATGTAGCTAAGGGTTTTGTTCTCCTTCTCTCTCTTTTTTAAATATGATTTTTATTGAAACTTTTGAAAAAGATAGAAACTAATACAAAGTAGGAAAGAGAAAAGAAAGAAAAAGAAATCAAAGAGAAGTGCAAGAAAGGGGACAAAGTAAAAAAATAGAAAAGAAAGAAAAAAGATATAAAGAAGTAGCTTCTGATTTTCTTTACTGCTGTTATAAGTACAATTACAAGTTTCTCTCTTACTCTGTGGTTGCAACATATCTCTCTTCTTTCTATAATCTATCCTGTCTAATCATCAAAGCCATAAATCACAAGTTCATTTTTTTCATTTTTACGCAAAAAGTCCATAAGAGGTTTCCAATCACCAATAAATGTAGATAGTTTCTTTTCTCTAATCAAAGAAGTTAGTTTATCTATCTCAGCAAAATCTGTCAATTTCACCAACCATTCCTGTATAGTGGGTAGTGTTGAATCTTTCCATCTCTGTGCATATAATAATCTCACTACAGTAATCAAACACTAAAATAATCTTCCATGAGTTTTTTCTAAGTGTTTATCACGTAGTCCTAAAAGGAAAAGTCCTGGCTTCAATTGAATATTAATCTTTAAAGTCCTCTATATCAATGTATGTATTTAAATCCAATTTTTTAAAGCTTTTTTACAAGTCCACCAAGCATGATAAAATGTCCCTTCATGTTCACATTTCCAGCATACATTTGAAGTACCTTTATACTTTCTAGATAATTTCTCTAGCACCATATACCAACAATACATCATTTTATAAAAATTATCTTTAAGGTCATAACACAATGTAAATTTCAACCCTTTTAACCACATATTTTCCCATTCATCCATCTGTACACCGGTAGTCCCCAGTTTAAGAATGAGTTCCGTTCCCAAGTTCTGTCCTTAAGTCGAATTTGTATGTAAGTCGGAACAGTATTATTATATAATACTATATAAGTAGTATTGTGTAATTAACTTGAACCATTGT